CCCACCCTGTTGTCGAAGAAATCACCAACTTCGACATCCAAAGCAAACTTCAAGCACGTGCCAGATAAAACAAAATACAACCCAACGCCTCAGTGTGCAGAAATCTTTGTCGCTAGGCTGAAATGCCTGAGGTATCTCACCCCCGAAGACGGACAGAGTGTCGAAGCTGGGTTTCCCAGCATCTTGGGTGAAGTTCTCCCTGAGCCGCTGCAGGATTGATTTTGCTGGTTACTCTGGTGTATTGCTGAGGCCTAGCCTTTCTCGACTTCTCGTTCACACAGGCAGGCACCGAAAAGCTCCATATAGAGCCTTCACGACCCAAAACTACGGCACAGACTCCCACGTCAAAGTGACCGATCATCTTGGAGATCTCTACCAAATGGAGCATCGAGAGTGGTGCACCACGTGGTGAGGTGGCGAGTATTACTTCCCAAAGATAAGCTGGACGCAATTGACACGTGCGATGTCATGGGGAAGATCCCAAACCGTGCATCTGTTCCATCCAACATCAGATATTCCAGATAAGCACGGTCACATCGTGCAAACGAAAGAAATAAAAAGATTCCATGGTCAATCGACAGTTCCCCCGCAAATGACATCAGTTGCAAGCCGAATACGCCGCGATTCTCATTCGGCTCGATTGCCGAGTGGTCATCTGTCTGCCCAGCTATCCACTGGCCACCGGCACTGGCCGCCACCACAGCGGAGCAACGGAGCTTCGGATCGCCAACCTCTCAGTCAAACAAGCATCGATTGACCTCTATAGACTGGCGCTACCTCGGCACTTTGATCTACCGTCGCGGCCGATTGACCGACTTGAGCAGAAACTCCGTTGGCGACTCCAGGCGAGCCCGGCTGAATGCTGCTTTCTCCGCTGTCGATAGACATGGCAGGTGCAGCGCGAGATCAAATCTGTGGGACGATGCGACGCTACTTTACCCCTGACGCTGAGCTTCCGTCCCCAACAGCCAACGGGCCTGATTTTCATTGACGCGGCTAACAGGAACCATGATGTCGCGCGGAAGATCGACCATGCACCCCTCACTGTCGGCCCCTTCACCCCCGAATCGCGAGGGAACCGGCCGGGGAAATTTTGTTTACTTTCTCGGTGCCGTTATGACGAACTTTTTTTTTTTTTAATTCAAAGGCAGCGAGACGGTATAAAGACTATTGGGCGTGCTCTCCCGTGGAATGAGAGTGGTCGGTCACGCGAGCTACGTTCTCTATTCCCATCAATATGAGGCTTTCTACGACCGCAGCTGCTCTCGCGGCCCTTGGCGGACTCTGCGCTCAGGCGCAGAACGTGACGGAGTGGCCTCTGCACGACAATGGCCTGAACAAGGTGGTCCAATGGTGAGACTTGGGAGATTGCGAAAGAGGGGGCATAGCCCTGATTTGTTTCCAGGGACCATTACAGCTACATGATCAACGGCGAGCGCCTGTTCATCTTCTCCGGAGAGTAAGAATAGGTCCTAGACTAAAGACATCGAAGATGAAACTGACACCGTAAAGATTCCACTACTGGCGACTTCCAGTGTCAGTGACAATGTCGAATGCTTGTGCGGTATATGCAGCTGACAATGCCTAGCCCCGAGCTATGGAGAGATTTGCTCGAGAAGATGAAGGCAGCAGGGTGAGAAAAAAAATGGCATTCCAGGATTCGACTGACTGGCGTACTGACAATTGGCTCGACAGCTTCAACGCCTTCTCGATCTACAACAGCTGGTTTGTGCATGACGAGAAATCGCTGGATAACAAGCTTTTAACCCTTTGTGTGATAGGGGCTATCACGAGGCATCTCCCGGAGTGCTTGACTTCACCAGCGGTGCTCACGACTTTGTGTCCCTCATGACGATCGCGAAAGAGGTCGGCATATACCTCTTGATCCGCCCCGGACCCTACGTCAACGCCGAGACCAACGCCGGCGGCTTCCCCCTGTGGCTCACCACCGGCGAGTACGGCAGCCTCCGCGACGATGATCCGAGGTACACCAAGGCTTGGACACCCTACTGGGAGGAGATCTCGAAGATCATTGCCCCTCACCTCGTGACGAACGGTGGAAATGTCGCCATGTTCCAGATCGAGAACGAACTCAATGGCCAGTGGAAGGACATTGGCAGGAAGATCCTCAACCCGCCCATCGCCAACTACATGCAGCTTTTGCAAGACAGTGCCAGGGACTCGGGCATTGATGTGCCCGTCTTCCACAACGCTCCCAACATGAGGGGCTACTCTTGGTCGAAGGACTTCTCCAATGCTACTGGTAACGTCGATACTGTTGGCGTTGACAGCTATCCGTCTTGCTGGAGCTGCAACCTGTCCGAGTGCACGAACGTGAGTTGTCATCTTTCATGATTGGAGTATGGTCGAATCCTAACACGGTGTAGTTCAACGGCGAATACGTCCCCTACGTTAGTCTTGTCGAACCCTAAGGGTCCGCGTTCTCGATGCTAATATTTCGCAGAGCGTGGTCAACTACTATGACTACTTCCAGGCCCAATCTCGTGAGTCACGAAACCTGCAGCCCACATAAATAATGTTAGGCGTCTTCTTGATCTAACCGATCATTAGCATCGCAACCAAACTTCATGCCGGAGTTCCAGGGGTATGTTGAGCACGCCACAGCACCGTCAGTGCACTACTGCCATGGACAATAAACTAATCCAAAACAGAGGCAGCTACAATGTTTGGGGTGGCCCTGAAGGTACATTTCAAAAAGTCACGACTTGGAAACCCTGAACTGACGATTAACAGGCGGATGCCCTGCCGACACTGGAGCGGATTTCGCCAACATCTTTTACCGCAACCTCGTGTACCAACACGTCACTGCCATTTCGCTCTACATGATGTTTGGAGGAACAAACCACGTATGTGGTGCCAATGTATATTATTTTGACCATGACCATGTTAACGTTCGTCTTTAGGGATGGCTTTCCTGCCCCGTTGTTGGTAGGCTTTCATGTTTCCCCGCGTAAAACTCAACTAACACAACGAAAAGCCACTAGTTACGACTATTCGTCTCCCGTATCAGAGAACCGTAAGATTGGCGACAAGTACTACGAGACTAAGCTTCTTCCCCTCTTCACCCGAGGTAAGCACAGAGGGTCGTCTTTACTGGACTGGAAGATCTCACAATCGTTTAGTGGCCAAGGACTTGTACAAGACAGAGAGGGTGGGCAACGTAAGTGAAATGTCCACTTAGTCT